GAATGAGCTTTGAGGTATTTTTGCCTTAATACATTGCTCGCAAACATGCCCAGGATCCGGGATAATCTGATTAGAAAGTTATTTATTCTTAAACATAGTTGAGAGTCGATAAAAATGTGGATGGCCTAACTGATGATGCCACAAATCCCAATTCGATAATCCAACATAATAAGTTGTAGTAGAAGATAAAGGAGGCTTGCATGACAAAGTCTTTGAATCATAGCTACTGCTAATAGAACATGATAATCCAGAATCACAAGTTCCATCTTTACCCATCACCACTTGTGCACACCCCTTCCCTTTGCCGACCAACTTGCCACGCACCCCATGCAAGCTAGCATCCACATGCTCTTTTCCATGAGAGTAGCGGTCGAGCTCAAAAGCTCAACCTCTCTTAGTCCCCCTTCCTATTGCCTTCCCTGTTTTCATGTCCTGCACCATGCAACCATTTGCATCAAATATTACACGACATCCATCATCAGCCAGGCAACCATTTGCATCAAATATTACACGACATGCATCTCTTAGTCCCCCTTCCTATTGAAATTCAAGACCCATTTGCAACCTGTAATTCCATACAAGGACCAGAACATATATCCTCAAACAACTCATGCGAACTTGTCATATGATTAAATGCAGCTGAATCTACATGCCAAGAAGAAGAAAAACTAGATTTCGTACCAGTAGAGAACACTGAAGTCAATGCAGTAGGAAGAGATTCCTTGATTGCCTCCCGCACCAGTTTTTGTATCGCAGCAGGAGATATAAAGGCTGCAGACGAGGAAGCTTGTTCCACAACATATACAAGACCTGGAAGAAGACCAACTTTCGATTGAGCTCCACCCATTCCTCCACTAGCATTGCGATTACGCCCACGGCGTGCCAAAAAAGGACAATCCCCAATCATGTGACCATGAATTTTAAATTAATTACAAGTATTGCACTTCTTGCAATGATACTAAATATGCCATGGTTCCTTGTAGAAGTTACAAATGACGATACCTGTTGGAGTTCGTTGAAATTAGGGACGACCGGAGTGATCAACAAAGGCCGTACCCCGCAGCCAAGTCTCTTCTCGTTGAAGTTCACCAACAACTTCGAGTCGGAGTTTCATTAAGAACGTCATCAAATGAATGCCCTCCCTGTCCTTTAGCATGACGCTCGACTCAGTCGCATCAACAGAGGATGAGATTAAGAGATTATGTTCCTGCCATAGATGGACAATCGCTTGATAGTAGGTCTTAATATCCTTTTCACCTTGTTCAAGCCTAGCTAGTTCCGTCTCCAATTCGAACTTCCGCGATGCACTAGATTGAGAATGGAGTGTCACAAGATGTTTCCACATATCATGGGAATTAGAGAACCCACGAAGACTCAAAGCGATGTCGGGTTCGACAGACGAAAAAAGTGCAGTTATGATCTGAGCATTGCTAGCTTCCCAGTCTCCCTTAACCTTCTCGGGCGCATCATCTGCCGATTTTGGGGATGTCCCATCAAGAATAGGGAGCAGCATTCGTTCTTGAACATAAATCCTGAACTGGAACTCCCACAAAGAGAAGTTCTTCCCTGTCAACCGAATAGAAAAGCCCTCTATCTTCGAATCCATGACAACTCGGATAAATAACAGACACACAAGATATACACACAACAGCTAGAGGAAGGAGAACTCCAAAAATTGATCCAAGAGAAAGACACTATATCACACAAAGCCCCGAGCATAAGACAATGATCGCCACACTAAGAAGAAGACGCTGAATCACATAAAGCTGGAGAATAGAAATGCCACAACACCAAAAGCCTCAAGAGAATGAAACCAAAACCCGCTGCAAAAATATGGGAGCACATCACACATAAACCATCTACAAACCGTCCTCAGTCAGAATAGCTGAGACTAGTCCACGGAGAGGGAGCCTCTTGAGTCTGTAGTATTGAGAGTTTGCGTTACACAAGTTACATACAAATCAGCCAATTCTCCTATATATACTAGGCCGATCAAAAACCCTAAACACAAAGGGCTAACTTGGTAATTAAGCATAACAATGATTAATTACTTAATACAAAGACGAGTTTGCTTCAACAACACATTCAACAAGTGTGAGTTTTTTCGAGTTAAATATGACTCACTTATTGCTCTATGAAATAGTTATTCTTTTTGTCCAAGAGATATCAATAAAATATAAGAAAAAACAAACAAACAAACAACACCCTACCTCCTTATACTCCCAAGGTGACATCACAGTGAAACCAACCTACAAAGTCGAAGATGCTAACTTTGAAGGTGATAGAAAAATTATTTATGTGCCACTTTGTGGGTAGTTCAAGTTGCGGCTCGAGGGTTCACCTTGAAGTTGACTCACTTCTACTGTCACTCCAGGAATTGGCCAAGTGAAACCACTTCCTAAAGCGTAGTATAGCGGGCTTGGGTTTAAATGTCAACCCGGGTCCTAGATTTGATGACTACTCAGCGAATTCTTGTTATCTAGCAATGAAACTTTAATGCAAGTCTAAACTAACAAACTAACAAAGCAAGTAAACAGTTGTATTCAGGTTAAGAGAGGTCACCCGGATATGGTTCCCCCTAGACTGCAGTTAAGCCGGATTGTAATTACCAAGTTCAGTTTCTATGATAGTTATACTGCGCAAGGTTCTTAAACAGCCTGAAGTCTCGACTAAAGGTCTTCAGACCCTCTCAATCTGAGTCTCTAGCGGGCGACTAACCTCCACCGGAGTAAACAGATTTAGGCCTTAACAAACAAAACCTCCACTACCGGAGTAAATCCGGTACAGAATAGTGAGTTGGCTCCTCGACTAAAGTCACCAACTCCCTACCTTCAATCAAGGATGCTCTATCAACCTAGGCAGATATTCTCATTCTAGGTTAAAGCAGAAACAACAGGAATTTGATCAGGATTCAAGTCATTTAATCATTCAAACCTCAATCGAATATAATCAAATCATAGAATCAGTACTTGGGTTCAGACAATCAAACCTAACATACAAATCTAGGGTTCTCCATACCCAGATGAAATGGGAGAACTACTCCATGGAAAAAGAAGCAAAAGCAGAATCAGACGCGGAATTCATATTGTGAAGGATGGATTCCTGCTCCTGGACGTTGATCGGCACTTCTCCAAGCTCGAACTGACCTCCAATGGTGTTGAAGATCAAGCTAGGGCACTTGGAGACTCTTGTTCGTCACTTTCTCTCTCTAGGAATCGCTCTATCTCTCTCAAAACTCGAATCCCCTTCTGTTTGGCTGAAAATCTGCTTAAAAGGGCATCAGTGGCCAAAGCACGGTCGAGGGCACGGCCGTGTAATGCCTCAGCCCGCCCGTGCTTTGGCTAGGGTTAATTACACGACCATTGTGTTGGGAGAAACTCGGCCGTGCTTTCGGGTGGACACGGCCGTGCTTTGGTCGACACGGCCGTGCTTTCAGCCCGTGTTTGCAGCTTGAATTTGCCAAACTGAATTAGCTCTCGGCAGTAAAAGCACGGCCACAGAAAACGACCGTGTTCTGTTTTAGGTGTGCCCGTGTTTTGGCTCCAGCTCGACGAAATGACTTCCGAATGCCCCGAAACTCGTGCTTAGCCTTCCCTTTGACGCCTGGGACCTGAAATATGACAAAATAGCACAACCCGACGTAAAATAGGCCAAAAATACACAACTATGCCCCTCAAACGGATAAGAACTAGGGGCGCAAATACGTGCAATTACATCGTTATCAAATTCCCCCACACTTAACCGTTTGCTTGTCCCCAAGAAAAACTAACTCAAACCAATGCAACTCTCCCGACCTCTATAGAAACAAACAACCCAGATCGTAGGTAGAGGACTTCCTAGATCATTTTGCAGCTTACGAGGTCAACCGACGCACAAGTCATCTCATAGCTTCTTCGGCGAGAGCACTAGTATCGAGTCGGCATCATGGCAAATAGTGAACAGAGGACAAATGAATTGTGGATGAAGAGATTCTCAAAAACAAAGGATCATGGACTCACATTTTTCAAGGTGCTCTATTTTCTTCTTGGAGATGGTTGGAACCCCTTTTTTCTGTTTTGCTTGTTTTCTGTTATTTTTTTTCAAGGGTCCCAACCTGCTTTTCAGAAAATGGGGGCTCCCACCTAGCAGAGGTTTTGCGGGAGCCTGGCTCTTACCGGCCATGCCAGGAGAGGGTGTCTCGAGCCTCGTGCGGGGGAAAGACATGTAAGGGGGCTGGAGGTAGTAGGTGGAAATTGGGAACGGATTCCCGTCTCCCCTTACACACTTTCGCCCTATTCGCACGGGAGACGTTATTTTTCAGCACATTTTCGAGCACCTGTTATTTTCAAAACATGATACAAGAGTCCATGACAGATAGAGAGTCCACAACACCACACAATTCAAGGGTCCTAAGATCACTAATTCACGCAATCAACCAACACAATATGAAGAAGAAATGAGATTTCTTAAATGCATCAACATCCTCCATAGTGCTACACTACCTCCCTAGGTTGCATATTACTATAAAGACTGTCAATTCAAAGCATACTGAGCAAGCCATTGCACGGAAACACGTACTTGGAGCCCTCAAATTTAAAAATTTGGACAGTGGACTAGGCTCCAAGCACACAAACAGATCTAATGCAGTCAAAGATAAACACCCCCCACACTTAAGATCGACATTGCCCTCAATGGAGAAGAGGGAAGGGAAAGGGGAACGATGTTACCGGTATGCACGGACTGCAGGAGACTGGAAAAGGACCAGTCGGAGTGAAGCGGACTGGAAAGAGGACCCGTTTGGAACAAAGCACTGCTAAAGGGGAACAGAAGAGCTCAAACACAATATGTTAGGTCCAATGGTCAGCCCAATAATACATCATCCAAAACAAAAGAAAACAAACCAAAACCAAACCGGTTTACAATCCGACTCAAAACACAAGAAAGAAAGTCAAACCGTTGTGGGGCTGCCTCCCCACAAGCGCTTCTTTACCGTCTTTTAGCTGGACGCCCATGGTGGATACTCAGGGAGGTGCAGGAACAGGTGCCTCCAAGAGCGGATCCACGTCGCTCTTGAGGTACAGCTTCAGGTTGTGGCCATGCACCCGACGGATGCGACCACCATCATCGGTCAGCTTGACCTGGCCATCTGGCAAGATGCAGGCGAGTGAGTACCCGGATGGCCAGGGTGGTGGTGGTGCAGGAGGTGGGACCAGCTCATAGTGGTCTCCACTCTTCTTCCGAACAGGCTTAGCCACCTGCGGCTTCGGCCGCCACTCCTCCTTCAGCTTTTTGTTCGGAGGCGAGGCTGGATGGAGTGGCGGCGAAGGAATGATAGGAGGGTCCTGCAAAATAAGAGGTGCAGAAGGATACACGACAGGCTCGTGTACCTGATCAGACATAGCATGCACATGGGTGACAGCAATCATAGCACAGTGATCAAATTCAGTCACAGAAAAAGTAGCCTGTTCATTCCCAGCACGCAGGATCAGTTTACCATCATGCACATCAATAAGTGCCTTGGCGGTGGCAAGAAATGGTCTACCCAGAATCAAAGGTACATCCACATCCTCATGTATATCAAGAATAACAAAATCAACAGGATATGTGAATGCACCGACACTGACAAGCAGATCCTCTATGATTCCCCTAGGATGCACAATGGAACGATCAGCTAGCTGAATGCTTATCCTAGTAGGGCTAAGTTCACATAGGTCTAGCTTTTTATACCACTTATATGGCATGACGTTTATGCTAGCGCCTAGGTCTGCCAAGGACTTGCCTACATGCATGCTGCCAATAGTAAGAGGGATAGTAAAACTCCCTGGATCCTTGCGCTTTTCGGGCAGCTTGTTCTGCACGATAGCAGAACACTCCTCGCTCAGCAACACTGTTGAGAGATCCCCAAGTTTCTTCTTGTTGGTGAGGAGATCTTTCATGAACTTCGCGTACTTGGGCATCTTCGACAGTGCCTCCACGAACGGTATGCTGATGTTGAGCTGCTTCAACATTGCCATAAACTTGGCAAACTTAGTCTCCAACTTGTCTTTGTGTAGGCGAGTGGGAAAGGGAAGCTGGGGTACATGCTCCTTAACCACTGGTTGTGGCTTGGGAGCAGGGGCTTCCTTCTCCACCCGCACTTCTGCATCGTCGGCTGGAAGTGCTGAAGCAGGTAGTGGTTCCTCCTGTCTGGCCGGGGCAGGATCAGCAGATATGGTCTTACCGCTCCTGGTAAAAATGGCATCCAGCTGCTGGAGCTGGTGAGGATCTTGAGGATTCGGAATAGTAGTGGCAGGCAGAGTCCCCGGTGCCATGGTAGTGTTTTGGCGGGCCAAGATGCCCACCTGGGTCTGCAGATCTTGCAAAATGGCGCCCTGGTTCCGCTGACCTGTCTCCAGTGACGTGATAGCAGCCTGAGTGCTAGTCATGAATGAAGCTAGAATATTTTCCAGCTTCGTCATCCGATCATCTGGGGTAGGAGCTGCTGCTGGCTCGGCAAACTGGCGTTGGGGCTGCTGGAATGGTTGCCCCTGCCTAGGCTGGTAGGGCTGCTGCCTGTCGAGCCTGGAAGGGTTGACACTGCTGAAAACCACCTGTTGGTGCTGGGAAACCAGGTGGTTTAGTGGTGTTGCTGCTCCAGGCGACGTTGGGATGCTGGCGCCACCCCTCATTATATGTGTTGCTGTAAGGGTCGAGGCGCCGAGCATTGGCGATGAAGTCCAACTGCTCTTGGGGAGTGGTAGACTCCCTCATAGCCTGGCAGTCCTCCACTAGGTGATTGGAGCTCTCGCACCACTGACATTGAGCTACTGGAGGTGTAGCCAAACCTCTGCCCGAAATAAGACTGTTGGGCTGCTTCAATATCTGCACTAGCTCAGCTACCTGCTGCTCGAGCCCGGATCTGGTCTCCATGGCGTGCACACCACGGTCCAGGGACTGTCTGCCTCGGCTACCCTGTCCCCAAGAATGATCTCTGGCAGCCAAAGTACTGATCATCTGGTTCAGCTCGGGTGGAGTCTTAGTAAGAATATCCCCTCCTGGGCATAGAGACTCAATCACCCTCTGGCTATCTGGAGAGAGAGCACTGTAGAAGTTCCCCACTGTGAATGCATCACTGAAGCCATGATGGGGATACTGCCAGAAATATCCCATGTATCGCTCCCATGCATCACGAAGTGACTCATCTGGCTCTTGGCGGAAGTGAGTGATCTCTCGCTGAATCTCTGTAGTCTTCGATGCCGGATAGTACCTGTGCACGAATTTGTCAACCAGATCGTCCCAAGAGGTGATGGACAATGGGGGATGGGTCTCCAACCACCTCTTAGCATTCCCCGCCAGAGAATGAGGGAACAGGTGAAGGCGCATTGCATCATCGGGGACACCATTCAGCTTGAACCCGTTCGGCAGCTGCAGAAAACGGGAAAGATGTACCCTGGCCTCCTCATCCTTCAAGACATGGAACTGGATAGAGGATGTAATGAGCTGAATCCAGCATGGCTTGATCTCGAAGTTATTTGCTAGGATATGCGGGTAGAGGATGACCGGGCGGATGTCAGCAATCCGTGGAGTGTAGTAGTACTCCAAGGTGGGACCCGGCGGCGGTGGATGATGAACCCCATGATCCTGGGGTATGGGGTTGTTCCCCAGGACCTGATTCCCCGGGGGAGCTTGCTGAGGATTCCCTTGGTGTGGATTGTATTCTCTGTCCATCCCGTGCTCTTCCTCAGAATCGCTGCTCAGGTGGCCGTCTATGCGCTCTTCCGTAGCCAGTCTAGCTCGCTGTTGTCTCCTGAGTTGGCGACAGGTGCGGTCAATCTCTGGATTCAACGGCAGTAAACCTCCCGACTGGCTACGGGTCATGCACTACCTGCACACACTCAAGCAAGAAAACCCGTGAAGGCACAAGTGGGACAAAGCAAACAAAGCGAAAAGAAAAGCTAAATTAACAGAAATCACTTTTCTTCAACAACCTAGCCTTCCCCGGCAACGACGCCAAAAACTTGACTAACTTCTACTATCACTCCAGGAATTGGCCAAGTGAAACCACTTCCTAAAGCGTAGTATAGCGGGCTTGGGTTTAAATGTCAACCCGGGTCCTAGATTTGATGACTACTTAGCGAATTCTTGTTATCTAGCAATGAAACTTTAATGCAAGTCTAAACTAACAAACTAACAAAGCAAGTAAACAGTTGTATTCAGGTTAAGAGAGGTCACCCGGATATGGTTCCCCCTAGACTGCAGTTAAGCCGAATTGTAATTACCAAGTTCAGTTTCTATGATAGTTATACTGCGGAAGGTTCTTAAACAGCCTGAAGTCTCGACTAAAGGTCTTCAGACCCTCTCAATCTGAGTCTCTAGCGGGTGACTAACCTCCACCGGAGTAAACAGATTTAGGCCTTAACAAACAAAACCTCCACTACCGGAGTAAATCCGGTACAGAATAGTGAGTTGGCTCCTAGACTAAAGTCACCAACTCCCTACCTTCAATCAAGGATGCTCTATCAACCTAGGCAGATATTCTCATTCTAGGTTAAAGCAGAAACAATAGGAATTTGATCAGGATTCAAGTCATTCAATCATTCAAACCTCAATCGAATATAATCAAATCATAGAATCAGTACTTGGGTTCATACAATCAAACCTAACATACAAATCTAGGGTTCTCCATACCCAGATGAATGGGAGAACTACTCCATGGAGAAAGAGGCAAAAGCAGAATCAGACGCGGAATTCATACTGTGAAGGATGGATTCCTGCTCCTGGACGTTGATCGGCACTTCTCCAAGCTCGAACTGACCTCCAATGGTGTTGAAGATCAATCTAGGGCACTTGGATACTCTTGTTCGTCACTTTCTCTCTCTAGGAATCGCTCTATCTCTCTCAAAACTCGAATCCCCTTCTGTTTGGCTGAAAATCTGCTTAAAAGGGCATCAGTGGCCAAAGCACGGTCGAGGGCACGGCCGTGTAATGCCTCAGCCCGCCCGTGCTTTGGCTAGGGTTAATTACACGGCCATTGTGTTGGGAGAAACACGACCGTGCTTTGGTCGACACGGCCGTGCTTTCAGCCGTGTTTGCAGCTTGAATTTGCCAAACTGAATTAGCTCTCGGCAGTAAAAGCACGGCCACAGAACACGGCCGTGTTCTGTTTTAGGTGTGCCCGTGTTTTGGCTCCAGCTCGACGAAATGACTTCCGAATGCCCCGGAACTCGTGCTTAGCCTTCCCTTTGACGCCTGGGACCTGAAATATGACAAAATAGCACAACCCGGCGTAAAATAGGCCAAAAATACACGACTGTGCCCCTCAAACGGATAAGAACTAGGGGCGCAAATACGTGCAATTACATCGTTATCAGAAGTCAACACCAATAAAGATGGAGGAAACCAACTAAAGACATTCATGAAGAAGAGAACAAACCAAAAGATATCACACAATACCATATTGTAGTTACGAGTTGTGACATCAGAATTGCCTTCCACAATCACTCTCGATATCTATGGTTGACTACAACGATGCATGTGCAGGGACCCATCAACCAACCAATGTATTGATTTTGTAGACCTTGTCAAATCGTTACAACACATCCATTGTTTAGAATACATTGTTATATGTTTTATTTTTCTTCTTACGTAATTTATGAATTCGTTACTTATTTAATATAAACTTTTACTTATATTGAATGATGGGACAATCTCAATTTTTGACTAAGATTGTTGGGATAATTGAACCCATTTTTTATTTACAACTTGAAAACACAATCACACATATTAAACATTTTATTTTATAGTACACCAAATTCATCAATACATGTATTTATCACAATTGCAAATGAAATTTTAGATGACAATAACCCATTTTATTACAAACTTTCAAGTCAGTGTTCTTCATATGCTCCCTGGGTCTGGAGACGTTTCGTTGGACCCTACAGACTTATGGGCTCTGTTTAACGGTGCGAAGGCCTGGGTCTGTTTCTGTTGGCCTCGATTCATTCCCCCCACCGACTATCCTCCTTCACTTCACCGCCGATCATTCCACCCTCCCCAAGTTTGGATTTTAATTACACTCCGGTGATCCTCCTATTTTTCCCACCTTTATGTGATTGATAAGGTTCTGCGTCTGCGTCTGCGTCTGCGTTGATCTACTCATTTGAAGAGTAAAGCCGATAACTTCTCCATTGCTTGCTCTTTACTTGCATAACATAATTTTTGAAAAGGCGCAATCTTGTGCTCTTCTCTGTGCCGCCATGATAGTGCAGTCTTCTATGGCTTCATATACGAAGCACATTGTCCGGCTGAGAGGGAATGCTCAGCAAATGGGCTCAAATGTTCTGGAAATCGTTTCCAAAGGACAATCCAGTTTATGTTCTCCGTATTTCAATAGACATCGGAGTAATCATTTATAGTCATTAACTGTTAAGAATTGGGTTAGTGCTAGAAGTTCCACTAGACAATATTTTAATATCTCGTTGCCATGCCAAAGTATGGATATGAGCCTATCAATGTCGAGACAAGTCTAACATGGGAACTTTATCCTGGTCACAACAAGGGTTCTTCAGGCTGCTTAATCTTTGGTCTCTTGGTTTGTTGTTGCTCAAATTGTGGGAATGCTTAAGAAGCCTCATATTTTAAAACCACTTCCAGTGGAAAATGTTGGGATGAATAGCTTTGAAAAGCTATAATGAAATTCCTAATTAATTATCCAGTATTTTCCCTATAATACGAAATTAAGATGGATAATTAATAAAAGAAATATTATGAAGATAATTAGAAATAATTATCTTAATAGATTATATTTTAATTATGAGAGTAATTATCTCCCTAATTAAAATGTGACTTATTCCCAAAGAAAGAGGGAATATTCTGGATTTTCTGCTCCTATAAATAGGAGACTACCCAGACCCTCTAAACACACCTCAAAAGAGCAGAAACACGAGAGAGAGTGAATTCATAGAGCTCCGGTTTTTCGCACAAAACCGATGAGCAACCAAATTAGAATGGCTGTTTTATACTGGAGGCGACCGGCTGATAGTCTGCTGTGCGCAATACGAGGCAGTGTGAATGTCTTAAAGAGAGCGACCTAGTTCGCGACTCAACCAGATCGATAATCCTAATTTTTCCTGTTCGGTTTTTAACAATTTTAAGACGTTCGGTTGCTGTTATATCTATTATCGCATCTGATTCCAATCGGTCGCAAGTAACGGGATATGGCTGCCCACAACTCGATGCTTTCTGGATCGCTCTCATACACGAGTTGGCTCCTACGAACTCGAAGGAAAGAGCGACCCCAGTAATTCCTTCCACAAACCTAGAATAAAATGTCCAGTTAAAAGCTACCAGTAGCTTGCAAGGAAGCCCACGAAGTATATCAAGAACGAAGAGGGATAATTAACTCTGGCCAACGTGGAGCAGGCTGCTAGCAATGGTAATCATGGTAAGCCCACGAAGTATATCAAGAACGAAGAGGGATAATTAACTCTGGCCAACGTGGAGCAGGCTGCTAGCAATGGTAATCATGGTTTTAATTACGTGGACCATGAATACTTTGAGCTTTTCCGGCCAGGTTATTGATTATGCCCTCAAGATGAAGAGCTACAGAAACGCTCCTGACACTCTAGCTGTGGGGCACGAAAAACAATGGCAACCTTCACCAATTTGGTTGCATTATATGTTAGGAAATTCTATTTCCTATCATGATATGGGCCACATATTTTACAATTATATGAGCTATTTGGGTATGTGGACTAATTGAAAGTGATTCAAATCAGGACCCAAAGGCCAAAGATGTCTTGGATTGATATGGGCCTAAATGGGTGGAAACCCAATACTTATTCACCTTGGGTTTTATGGGAGCCCACGGTGACTAGTATATAAAGGAGTTGAGGTCGTGGTCTCCAATACACCAAGACCAAAATATTCTCGTCTTCTCCCCATTAGAAAGACGAGAGCTCTCCTGTAAAGGAACTATGGAGGCTTGGTTGATTCATTTTGAAATGGGTGAACGAGAATAATGTGAAATGCTTTATCACATTATTATTGATTGCACTAATTAACGATGTGTTTCTTTTGACATGCTTTTGATGTAAAACGTTAATTATGAAATGCGTTTTCATATGGTATAGTTTGAGAATCAGTGCAATATAGATGAGCATGAGAGTGATTTATTGATTGTGCTATCAATAATAGAACACATAAGTTTAAAAAAATGAAATACTCATTGTTGTGTAGAATCCATTAATGTCATTCCATTTAAATCGAGAAATAGTGGGGGTAGTATCTTGCCTGCTATTAGAAATAATGGATAACTAGTGGGGGTGATGAATCTGGGTATGAACTCATAAGAGACAAATGAACCATAAATCGTTGAAGGATTTTGGTTATGAATTTGTTATTTACACCCTAAGAAGAGATCCTACAAGTCTGCTTGAAGTTCGAACTTCCATACAGATGTAGATTTGTGGGTAAATCCATTATTAAACGAAATGGAATTATTGGAGTCTATTAAGACATAAAATCTTGTAGAGTCACCAAATCTGGAATAACATCCATGTATGGACAGAGCAAAAGCACAAGGCCGTGTTTTTCACACCAGAGGGCTTGTTTTTCAAACGCCCTGCTGCCCGGTTTTCGAGATCGACCTTCTTTCACCTCCAAATGTCCCGAAACTGGCCCCCAAGTCCATATCTACGTACTAGGACCTGAAATATGACAATAGAACACAACCTAGCGTAAAATAGGCCAAGGAATGACCAATCACTAAGCTAAATGATCAAGAAATGATGGGGAAAACATGTGCAAATACGGTGTTATCAGAGGCCCTGTAGGGGGTGACCCTTTCTCACATTGAGAGGGAGCGAGGTCGGGCT